TATATATATATATATATATATATATATTCTAATACATTTGAAGGAGTTCAAATCAACATATTATTATCCATTTTTACCTACATGGGGACACATCAGTAATTTTATCATTTTCACCCTTGTCTCATAAGTCCTCGTCCTGATAGTATTTACTTTGGTCTTTTCATAGTCTTTAGTTGATCTTACCCAATGGGTTCAAAATATATTACTCATTTCTTTGATAATACACGAAGTAGTCTTTGACCATACCTGTTTGAAGAAGAGAGAAGGGAAAGTATCTCCAAAAGACACTCTAACGATTAAGTTTGTCTTAAAACTCAAACAAATCAATGCAATCAATCTTGTAATAAACGCAAAAGTACCATTTTCTCTCTCTACATATCATTATTTATACCAACCTTACTAGGTCTAGGCTCATAGGGTAGTCCCATTAATGATTATTATATCTCTAATAATCCCTTAAACTTTATTAATCATTAGTATAGATTGAGTAGTCATCGACTTTTTTCTTTAGCCAAGCCCTTCAAACATATAGGCCTTATAGGCTTTTGAGATTTTTAGTTAATCAATTAACAAATAAATAAATAAAACTTAAAAGTCGGTTCGTTTCTTCCTTTACTTTTAAACAGTCTCACATTTATTTCCTTTGACACTGTTGTCTTTATTATTAAAAAGTTGTTATGCTTCATCATGCGTTTTTCTCATCAAACGAAGAGTTTCATTTTTTGGTATATGAAAATTCTTATGTTTGTTTTAGTTGGATCAAGAATAATTGAAGGGATACAATCTTCAACCCTTTCTTTTGCCCCACTACAAATATAGATTCATTTTTACCATATTTTTTTTTACTTTGAAACCGAAGACTCTTCTAAGCATTCTCCTTGATCGAACTTTCTTCTCAATCTTTTCTTTTCATCCTTATCTAAAGACTCTTCTACTCTCCTCTTTTCAAATGTAGCATGAGGTCATCTTCATTTACTAATTACTTGTCTTCTACCTATTCCAATTTGTCCTCTTCTTCTGATGGTGATTCATTTCAACGAGTTACCGATGACCCTTCGTCCCCAATTGAAGACTTAAACCAAAAAGAGGTTGGGCCTTTAGCCAAGAACGAAGGCTTAAACCCTCATTAAGATAGAAAATAAAAAATAGTACTCAAGTTTGAATGGGTTCATAAGAAGTAGCTATTTATAACTTTAGGTCTAGTGACCCTAGAATTTTAGAAAACTTCGTAAGTCTTGTAAAATTTTCTACCTTTTTTTTTACCAAGGAAGATTCTTTTCCAATTTTTGCAAAGTGTTGCAAAACCAATGTCTCCCTTAATCTTGATTAAATTGTTGCACAAAGGCCTCTTTCTAAGTTAAAACATTTTTTCTATATGTATAATTGTCTTTTTTAAGACATCAGTATTACTCTACCTTTTAACTTTTTTTTGCTAGTATTTTTAGGATTCTTAACCTTACACCTATCCATTCAAGCTTTTTAGTGTCTTTGTAAATTTACTCATGTGAGAATTTCCTCAAGTTTATTTATAGTAATAAAAATTAACAGAATATATATATATATATATATAAGAGTGATTTACTTATTTTAAACGTAAGTCTACCTAAACCTGTTTTATTCAACAATTCATATTTTATATTAATTTCAATGATTCAACTATTAAGTTAAAAATTCTTAATACATAGATCAATTCTGCAAATTTTTTTAAAAATTTAATAACTATTTGATACTGTTTTATTTAAATTCAAATCAATATTTAAAATATTTTTTATGATTATCTGTTAATTTAAATTAATGAAACATGGTATCAAATAATTTTTGAATTTTAAAAAAATTATAGACCTGACTTATGCATTAAGAACGATTAATTTAATGATTGAATCATTGAAATTCAACATATATAATGAATTATTGAGGTGAACCTTCAAAAGCAACACATGATTTCCTCTATTTTTTAGATATCTTAGCAAAGATATGTATCTTTTATCACATGCTTAAAAATTTAACTCAACAACTTGAACAACTTAACAACATACAATTTTACACAATTCAAACATCTATCAACTAATAATTTAATAGCATACACATCTTCATATAATAAATCAACTCAACATATAGATTCATTCGTAAATTATTCATCTTACGACTTATTTATCACCTTGCATCCAAAAAACAACTTATGAATTTGCTTAACTTGATGAATCTTTTTAAACTCCGTTCATGGTCTTGGTTTTTAGCAAATGTAGGGGAGGCTCATGTCTTCTTTTCATATTTGTGTATTAATCTCTTGGGGTGTTTTCCTTCTTGATGTAACTTGTTAATCCTTTATTGTTCACTAGATTGTGTGTGTGGGTTAGAGTATTCCTAGTACTCTAATTAATTTGATTTTGCTTATAAAATATTATATTTTATTAAAATTTAAAGTTAAATATTATTTGTGTTTCGGCCAAGAGATTGTCTAGGTTTTTTTTTAACTAAAATAAAATATTTAAAACAATAGAAATTAAACTATAAGTTAATAAAATTATAAGAATCGATAATATAATTAAATATTTTTTTATATAATAACGAAATCTTCATAATTATAGTACTTTTTCTTCTAATTCTTTTTTGGGTAAAGTATGATGCACGACATAATGAAAGATAGCATGATTCTTTAATGAATGTGAACAACCTCCCTTCCGCATATATTAACAATTAAAACCGCAGTCCTCCCCCTTTGCAACTAAACTGACTCTTAGAAAATGAAATAAGCTCTCCCCTTTGCATATACTAACAAATGAAACATACGCAACACTCCCTTTTGTATACAATTTTTATAGGAGCCCACTCTTAACAAACAAAATATGCACAACACATCCCCTCCGTATTGTTATTTATCATTATTGTGGCAAAAATTATTTATATAGATAATTACCTTTTTAAAAATTTTATTTTCAGTATAGTATTGTGTAGGGACGGAGCCAGGATTTCAATACTGGGGGGCCGAGAATAAATAATATATAATTTATAATAAATGAAAATTAAAGTATCAAAAGCATATTATCTGAGTTTATATTAAAAATAGGGGGTGCCAATGTGCCATATAGTAATATATATGTATATAAAAAAAATTAAAATTGTTGGGAGGGCCGTGGCACCCGTAGGTCCCCCCTTGGCTCCGTCCTTGGTATTGTGAGTCTTACACATGCAATAGATGCATTTTAGATGGAAGGGTGACGGGATGGTGATAGGAAACTTCCAAAAAGGTAGAACGGGAACAAAAGGAAAAGAAGGAAATATAATAAAAGAGAAAAGGACATAAAAAATAGCAAACGACATGCATTGTGTCGTATGTGAAGGCACTAGTTCTCAAAAAGTTCGGTATCTTCTCTTGACAATTATTATTACAAGTTTTGTCGGTACGTAAGAGACTTGTAAAACATGGTATGATGTTCTTAAATGAATCTTGTGCTTGTATAATTATGAAGACGAAGAGGTAAAATACTTATTCTTACATTATTCTATTTCGAGCAGTATATGATCGATATTCGATTTTGTATTGGTTAGACTTCTCTTCGTGTATGCCAAAGTATTTAAAAGATCTTTTATTGGATATGTGTGATTTTGTGGGTGGGAAAAAGAAGTGGAGGTATGTAGTAACTATTTGGGTAGCTGTGATATGGAGTATTTGATTACATAGAGATAACATTACCTTTAATAATGGTTTAGTAAATGTTTGAGAGATTATAAATACTATTACATATAAGTCATGGAAATGGTTGACAGCAGGGTTAATGAAGGACAATTAGTATAATATAAATTAGTTAAATGAGTCATGAATATGTATTCAGCAATTACCTTAACTTTGTATATAGGTTGGAGTGTCTTTTGTACTCCTTTTTTTTAATATTATGTTTTTTTGCTTATAAAAAAAAAATAACAAGCGACATGTAAACTACTTTCTTTACGGGGAGGCCCATTAAAAAGAGGTGACATGAGTCAGAAAATTGAGTTTATGAAGAATGCGCACAACAGATTGTGCATAATGTAAACAAAACAACCATAATTCCCTATGTGCCTTCTATTTATTCACATGCAAAGAAGAAAACACATCAACCCTCATTCGTTATATGCATATCACTTTTAAAAATGTGGCCAAAATTATTTATTTTGATAATTAGTTTTTAAAATAATTTATTTTGAGTATTTTTTATTTATTTATATAGGTCAAAAAGTCTGATTTTTGAGAATTAAAGATTTTTATTTTTATTACAATTATAAATATTTTATACAAAATATTCTTTCTTAAAATAATTTCATTATATGTTTATTTACTTACATTTTATTACAAATATTATATTAAAACTATTTTAAAAATTTAAAAATTTATCAAATAATTTAAATACAAAATTTAAATATAGGCTAAAACCCTATTTTGGTCCCTTATATTAATTGTTTGTTTCAATTTAGTCCCAAATTAATTTATTGGTTTCAATGTAGGACTTCCGTCCAAATTATTTAAACGGAGTTAACTTTTGGTCACATGGATGCCACATAGATGCATACGTGGATGTCATATGGATGGCAATTTTTTTGAAAACACCTGGACCCAGAACGGCCCGTTCTGAAACCAGAACGGCCCGTTCTGGTTGCACTTTTGGTGTGTTAATTTTGCAACTGAAACGGGCCGTCCAGATGCAAAAAATTAACACACCACCAGTGCAGCAGAACGGGCTATTCTGGTTTCAGAACGGGCGTGGCATCCACACGTATGCATCTACGTGACATCCACGTGACCAAAAGTTAACTCCGTTTAAATAATTTGGACGGAAGTCCCACATTGAAACCAATTAATTAATTTGGGACTAAATTGAAATCAATTAATTAGTTTGGGACCAAATTGAAACAAAAAATAAAAGTGGGACTAAATTGAAACAAATAATTAATATAAGGGACCAAAATAGGGTTTTTGCCTTAAATATATTATTATAATTAAGAAGAGTAAAAATGTATTATTTTATTTCATTCAAATAAAAAATAAAAAATATTAACAAGTATCATTAAATATAAAAACAAAATAGATTTTAATAATATTATTAAAATTAACAATATAAAAAAAATAATGAGATACAAGAAAAAGGGAGAAATAGAGATATGGGAGAGAGAGAGAGAAGAGAATGAGAGAGGAAAGAGGAAGAGAGAGAAAGTGAGAGTGACCGAGATAAAGAGTGAGAAAGAGAGAAGAAGAGAAATAGGAGAGAGAGGGAGAGTGACAAAAAGAGGGAAGGGAAGAGAGAAAAAGACATGAACGAGAGTGTGAGAGAGAAAGAGAAGGAGAGAGAAAAATCTTTTACTTTAAAAAAAGATACCGAAGTATTTTTTATATATTTAAAACTCTCGCAAAATTATATTCATGAAAACTAACATTTTTGTTTTAAAGATTCTTGTAAATATAAAAATATTTCATATACCAAATACTCCTAAAATTTTATTTTATGATGATAGACTTGCAGCTAGTATAAACAAGTAATAGAAGATATATAATAAATTTTATTTTATTATACAATAAATATTTAGTTTATGAAATTCACATTAAAATCATGTATAAACCAAAAAAATTATTTTAAAAAGTTAAATGAAAAGATTATTTAAATAATAAAAGATAATGAAAATATTATTTATTATTTATTAAAAAAAGGAAGTGTACATATGATTTGTTTTTTTCTTGTTTTGAAAATGAAAAACAAAAACCCTTGAAACGTTTAAACCCTTCACCACTGCGCCCTTGTTCCCTTCCCCACTCCCACCGGCCGAACAAAATTCTCCGAACCGTTCAAACTCCATGGAAGAAGAACACACGGAGCAATTCAAGGATGGTTCCGACCTCTGCCAGCAGCTCATGGACCGTTACGCCAACTCCGGCGCGCCGCAGCACCGCCACCTCCTCGCCACCGCCGCCGCCCTGCGCTCCAACCTCGCCGCC